CCGTGTGCTAAAGGAATGAGGGAAGCAGAAGCCCTTGCAAGTGAACAGATATCTAGGGCTCAGAGAACACAAGATTTGGAGCACGAAAGGCCACAGAGTAGGGTGTAGAGCAATCTAGACCTCTGTAGGATACCCATTCAGCTCCTTTGGCATGAAATGGTCGCTTGCATCTTTCACCTCTGTAATGTTGAGAGCGATGCATTTATTTTAAGGGCAGAAAGGGTAAAACAGTCATTATATTAATTCCATGCCAGAAAATACAGTGAACAACAGAAGTGTGGCTCAGGGGATAACGATAGCTGCCCTAACATATTTTATTTTTATTTTATTTTCATGTGTTCCATCTATTTGGAAAACGTATTAACTATCCCAGGCTTTCAAAGCTAAAGCAGGAATCAAATTTACGTAAATAAATAACATTAATAATTCAGATGACATTGGAAGCTTAAAATGCCAGCACAAACTCCAGCTACCTTCCATCTCTCTTATAGGGAGCAAGATAATTTGTAACTAGGCCGCTTAGGCTTCTTCCCATGGACAGCTTTTTTACACAGCGCATAATCTCCTAGCAGAAAAGGGTCTGTGTGTTTATTAAAGGGCAAGTGCTTCCATACCCTCCAACATTTCTCCGATGAAAATAGGGACATCCTAAGGAAAAGTGGGACATTCTGGGATAAAATCAGAAACCAGGGCGGCTTCTCAAATTCAGGGACATCCCTGGAAAATAGGGACACTGGAGGGTCTGTACTTCCAGATGACATAAATCTAATCTATACAAACTCTACATTTTATATAGAAACAGCTTCGACATTTTCTTAAAACTTACTTTCAAGAGCATTGTAACAGAAGAGTGAGTGGAGGAATGTTTGACAGCAGGGGAGTGTGTTGGGATGTTGGGTGGAGTTAGCATGAATGACAAGTGGAGAGACTCCATGAAGAACAATATTTAAGAGCACAAGGGGAGCCCATCTAGCTCAGGCACATCAAAATTCCACTGCCTTCTCTCCTAATCTTGATGCAATCTTATCTTGATCTCTTAACTTCCTGATAATCCAGTCCAGTTTGATTTCATATCGCTTCTTCCTGTCTATAACATGGAAGCGCACTTCATCACCCTGTGTATGTTGGCTCTGAAGTTAGTGCAGTATGACTTATTCCCAAATAAATGGGTTGAGGATTATACCCTAAGGCTGAAAAGCCTATATACCAGCCACCACCAACCTGGTGCTCTCCACATATTTTGGACTAGAACTCCCATAATTCCTTCCCGTGATGGCTGGGGATAATAGAAGCCATAGGCCAAAACATCTGGAGAGCACTAGATTGGGAAAGACTGCTCTACATGCATAACTGAAAGTAAATCTCACTGAATTCAATGGAACTTACTTCTAAGTGGACATCTGTTGGTTTGCACTGCAAGTTAAGTGCAAACTATCCAGCATTTCATTTGTAATTATGGGGGGGAAATATTAATTGTTGTTCCAAATAATGTGCTGCATCATAAATAAAACTGTAGACAGATCCTGGACACAAGCTAAAAATCATGGACATATAGGGAAGGGTTGAAAGCGAAGTAAAAACAAGGAGAGTTAACTATAAAGAAAAGCGGAATAACCTATGACTTCACCATTAAAAACCCCCAAATGATGAAGATGTCCTAATAGCAGGAGCAGGATATTTCAGAGATAAGTAACAGCAAGACACACAAAAAAAGGTGCAGTGTAACATATGAGATTTAGGGTTTGACAAGAAGTAAAGTACCACTAGAGCATAAAAACAAGAGGGAGTAGAGTATAAAGAGATAAGTGAAGCGAAAGATAAGGAGGAGACAGAACATGGAGACCTTTATAAGCTACCAAAATAAATTTGAACTGGATGCTATAGGATAATGGAAGCCAGCCAGTATGGAACAGAAAAAGGAGAAGAAATTCGAGGAAAATGAGAAATGAGAAAAACCAAACGAACTAGAGGTGACTTTAAAAGAGAATCAAATGGTTGAAGATAATACACAGGAAAGTTAGATAAAAGAACATAAAAACATCCATGCTTCCTTTAAGGAAGTGGAAATAAATTTTCCTTTCCACTCTCTGAATCAAAAAGTTCTAAACACTTTTGCTCCCCTCTTTCAAGTCCCCCTGAATCGCGAAGAAAGGGCTAGAAGTGGTATTTTCCTTTCTTCGTGTGCTCTCTGAAGAAGCGTAATGCTATAGAAATCCTAGAAGAACCTACTGTGTCATCTGCCACATCAGACAATATGGAAGTGCTTTTGACATTCTCAGTCACTGCGAAAGTTGCACAAAGGGCAACCCGGGATGAATAATTCCTTAGAGCCAGTTCACATTGCTGGAAATATACACCACACAGTAAGAATGTAGGCTTATGTGCATTCATGCCACTGCATGTACAAAGTATGGTACACATTTTGGGACATGAGAAAATTACAGCAATTAGAGTGAACATATATGTACACAATATCCATATCCATTATATACACAAGAAGTAGTGACAGGTGCCCCATTAGGTGCCACAACCAATAGCATGCATCCTATTTCCTCTTCTTTTGTTCTTCTGAACCTCCAAACTTGTACCAATGGAAGTCATTATAACTTCAACTGGCTATATTTCTAAACTTCCAGTGAAATTATGAAACCATCCTGCTGACATAAGCATTTTTTAACCTGGAGTGAAAATTACCGAATGGTTAGAAAATACGGAAACATTGATTCACTGTGCTATAGTCGATCAATCACCACCTTGGTGTGCCGCTACATTTCACCTTCTTAAGTGCTACATATATCTTACAGAAGATGTATGATCACCAGACAAGTATTAAGTGTTCCACAATTATTTATTAGGCATCTCTGAATTAGAGATGCTGTTGTTGATGAAAGATGCTAGAGTCTATATACCAATCCACAAATGCTGTCCCTTATACCAATAACTGGCATAGGTGGAGGAAGCTATGAGTACAACCTTGCATGGCTCCTGGCTGCCTCTCACCACTGCAACAGCTTAATTGGTGACTCAAGAGTTCTCATATCACATCCTCATCATGCACTCTCTTAACCAATCCAGTGTTGTAGCTATGTGAGTAGAATTAAAAACAAAAAAGGGGGGGGAAAGCTCTGTAAGTACATAAACAGAGTCCTGTTGGATCAGACCAGTATACCCATCTTGTCCACTATCCTGCTTTCCAGAGCAGCTAACCAGATGCTTTTGGGGAGCAGGATGGCCCTACCATTCTCAGTTCTGTCCCCATTTCTGCATCATGGTAATGGGTCAAAATGATAATTCTCCTCTCTGCTTTTCAAACAAAGTGGTTGTTAGAGGAGTTCAGGGGTGGAAACTGGAAGAAGCAATTTTCCTAATTATCTACTCCCCTGCTGGGCCTAATCCTGCCCCTTGGTCATTCTGTGCAGCTTCAGTGAAGAACTAAGATGGAGAGAGAGGGCACTCCTAAAATGTTCATATCGCTCAACTCTTTGGCTGAACAGTGACAGTGATCTCTCTTCTTATGCTCCATGCAGCCTCAGAGAACCATTAAATGTGGCATGTTATCATCCATATTGGATAGTGAAATGCGTATTTACAAAATACAATCTCAACCCTCTTCCTACCCCCCTCCATCCCCTTGCTAGCCATTGATCTTGACCTAGATATGAGAATATCACAAATCATGAGGGTATTTCCTGGATTCATTGAATGGACACAACATTTTACGTCAAAGCTAGGTGAGTGGCTAACCTAGAACATCCACAAGCTTTTATTCTGAGAGTATGACAGCTGTCATAAATTGTTGCTGACAGAGCAGGAGCAAGGAACCTGTAGCCTTCCAGATGTTGCTGTACTACAACTCCCATCATCCCTGACCATTGGCCATGTTGCCTGGAGTTGATGGGAGTTGGAGCTGAATAGCATTGGATGGTCACAGGTTTCCCACCACTGGCATAGGGGAAAGATAATTCTAGAAATAGTAGTGCAATTTAAAACACAACTACTGTAAATATATACATAGAAGCGAAAGCTGCCAGAAATAAGGACACCGGGGGCGGGGGGATGTAATTGTCATTTAGAGCAACTTTCATTTGTAGTGTAAGCCCTGTTCAGGTGCTAATGTTGGTGCTTAAGTGAACAAACGAGAAGGTGTGAGCTTGTACAAATTTTCTAGCTCTGCCTCTGCCCCCATCACCCTCTATGTATTCCCAGGAAAAACTCCCCTGTATTCATGGATGCTACTGTTTTTGAAAATCACCTGGCTGGAGCTGTTGTGAGTTGGAGTCCAACACATCTGGAGGGCAAGTTATTGGGAATGACTGCCTTAAAATTTATGCTAGCTTGTGCTAGTATTTTCTATATATACAGTGTTAGAAGCACACTGGATTCCATCATCGGGGGAAGATTCTGCAGTGGGGATTTCATACTTTTTAAAATTTTACATAAAACTTTTCTTACAACTGTTGCTATAGCTACAGCTCCAAGAGACCATAGCAACAGCATTGTATCATTCACAGCTTTAATCAAAGTTAACCACGACATGTTTTCTCTGAAATTAATTTATACTAAATATGAATGGGAACATTTAATTATATTAATTATATTTTGTTATGATAAGGTTGTATTTGTTGAAAAGAAAGATGCTATGCTCCATATGATATGCCCCTTGGGCCTTCAGGAAGACAAACAGTTATTTTGCTTTTGGAAGCTATCAGAAGTTACTTTGCTATTTGCTTCCGTGCTCAGTAAAAATAGCAAAGGCTTCAGTCCTAAACACACTTTTACTCAGGAATAAGCACCATTAAGCATAGATATCTAGCTCTCTGCAAATCCTCATGTGAGAAGGGTTAACCAATTAAATACTCGTGATTTTAAAAATATATGGCTATTGTCACTTTCTACTGGACAAGACAAAATATGGACTATTCTAAATTATATGAATCATTAGCTTTGCTGATAATACAATAAATTATGTACATTAAAGAGGCTTTAATGTGAATTCTTACCTCTTGGGTTCTCACATTCATATATCCATAGTGTGTCCTCAGAGGTTGCCGTTGTGTATAAAATGGCATCCACTTGGCACTTGTTTGTCCAAAGCAGCTGAATATCAGAGGAAAGCTGACTTCGTTTGTAAGGCGGGCAATGATCAGGAGCAGAAAGGCGGTTACAAAACCAAGCACAATAATAGCCTTGCGCTGCAAACGAGAGAGAATTTTTTAAAAAAGATTTTTACAACCTATGCAAGGGAGAAAATACCCAAACCTATGTTCAACGTCGCTGTATATGATCTGATATTCACAGGGAGAAATTGCACATGTGGAGATCCCTGCTCATATCAATAAAAGGAAGCTGGTCTGCACAGACAAAGAAATGCATGCACACATCACTTCCCTGTTCCACATATATGTATTTGTGTTAGGAAGCCATTCCATGTACATGGACATACTGGAGTTGGTCCAAGCATCATGTAGCGCTGGACAATATATCAATATATCGCCCAAAACTGGTTAGAAGTCCATATTGTGATATTGGTTTCATAATTTTTGATCTGACAATATATCACAAAGCATTATTTATGTGTTTGTGCTTGTGTGTGTGTGTGTGTGCGTGTGCGCATGTGCACGACGCAAAAATCCAATGTGGGAAAAACTGTGAAGCCAGCCAATGCCTCTACATAGCTCCATCCTTATTTCACATATCATGATATATCGCTATATCGTGATGTTTAGCTGGTGATCATCACAACATTGAAAACCAGCTATCACCCCGCTGTAGCATCATGAAGCTCATGTGAAAACACTTCAAGGGTTTCCTAAAGTGCTAAAGTGACAGATGTTTCTGAAAGTAAAGAGCTGCATAGTTATGAAAAATAAAGTAATTGGTTTGGGGGCAAAGTATTTTATGAGGATAGTTTCTCTTGTTCATTATTTTTTTTTAAAAAAAAACCCTACCAAAAATAGACCTAGTTTTAATCCCCCTTTTTGTTAGTAGTGCACAGATGGAAATGTGACTTCTTGCAGGGTCTTCAAATTCACCTTGAGCAAGCAAAGCCTGTGTCATATATCTACAAGTGACTACAAACTGCAAAATCTGTTTCTTCCGAAACTACTAGCAACAACATCCCAACTGCTGAACAGATCAAAACAACAGAGCAAGGGTCTTTACTATTTAATGACTCAGGGTGATGAGCTAAAAAAAAAAGATACAAGTGATACCAAGAGGACAAGGAATGCAGGGCGCCAATATTGAGAGCTACAGGAATGTTGTTTGGATGGGGGTAGGGAGGATGGAGTAAAATTGAGTGGCAGAGTGAGAATGGAGTAGGAGAAGTGTAAATTAGATCTGTCAATTTTTCATGCCTGGGTCAACCTGCATCGCATCTCATATTGCAATGTTGCATTGCCTGCTATTTAACCATCGTACTGAAAGCAATTTCATGATTGCAAACAGCAGAAAAGGAGCTCCAATAAGGAAAACTAAAATAAACGAGTTTTTAAAAACACCAGTGTTCTTTAAAGTGCACATTATGTCTTAATGATGGCTTTTGAAGTTCGACCACCAGACACCGCATTCAATTATTGCTAGAACAATGTGTTCACTGAGCACAGCGCAATCCCTATACAGGTGTGAGAGTAGGTGTTGAAGAATGCGCATACAGAACTGGCAATGCTTCTTAGCAAACTGGTACTTCTATGCCTAAACATTTCAAATTGGCTGGATCCAGAAAAGGTCAAATGTAGTTTATCTTACTAAATTTTAAAGCCCAAATTTAGAAAAAGCACCCAAGAAATGACACCGAAGAAGGGCACACATCATTGTTCAATGAGACTCAGCGGAATGTTAATATGCTGCTTGCTTCCTGAACACCTATTGCTCAAAGTTGGCATCTATGTATTAATGAAATATAAATGTTGCACTCATTTAATATAGGATACTTTATCAAGTGAGACCAATGCGTATTTATAATTTACTGTGCAAATGCTAGTCTTAAACCTGTGTGCATAAACATCCACAAAACTAATCATCTGGAACATTGCAAAACCAATGTTTTGCAGCTAAATTTGTGTTTGCTAAAAGGACAGAAAACCTGGTCCATTTTTGGTGAATGAAAACTGGGCATGCTTCACTTGCGATATCAGATTTGCCATGCTCTGTTAAAATGAATGGAAGTTGAACAACAACTCCACTCGGACAAGAAGAGGGAGGACATTAAACAAGATGAATCAACCACTCATTTCAATGGAACTTTATATACAGGGAAAGTTCCCAGTGAATTGTGCCCATCAGTGGCGTAGCAGGGGGGGCCGGCCGCACCGGGCGCAATATCTGGGGTTAGGGCAAATCCACGGGTTAGGGGGCGCAAATCCACAGGTTAGGGGGCGCAAATCCACGGGTTAGGGGGCGCAAATTACTTGCCTTGCCCCGGGTGCTGACAACCCACGCTACGCCGCTGGTGCCCATATTCTGTAAAATCTACCACTGCCTAGCAGGTACTATAAAATGCCTTACAGATTTACAGCTTGAATACATGCAAATAATAATAATAATAGTTTTAATATGCTTTGATCCTTTAACACACACCACCATTCAACCTGTTAAAAGAAAATTATTGCACCCATAGTCGAACTATGGTTGAATTTGGGTTTTTCTTTCTTTTATGACTACTTCTTCTGAATAACTGAAGCAGACATTAATTCAGAAGCTCTCTGTCTAATCTCTTCCATAGGGTAAAATTGAATGAACATAAAGTTGTTTAATATACACAATGCAATAACCTGCGGGCACATCTAGCATGCCTTGGCAATCCACACAGGATTCCCTATTTTTCTAGCAATCTTAAAAATCCAATCTCAATAATAAGATAACCCTGATTCTTGTCTCACTTAGTACTATGCAATCAGAATCATTCTGCCTGGCACGTATATCAAAATCAATAAGGAGAAGACATGATGAATCACTCTTTTTGGGATTAAATTTATGTGTGCTGAAGACAAAGAACAAGATAGTTTAAAATCTGTCCTGCAGTTCTACTGGTAGTATTTCTAAGGGAAACTGAGCATTATCCAGTCCTCTCCAGCTAAGTTGCAGACTTCTGTGTATGTTCACAATCTCAGTTAGGAACTGCATGTGTAAATAGTAGTAGAGGATAGTCCCCCCTTTTAAACCAGTAAGCATGCTGGACACGTGTAGCAGAGTCCCTCCCCCCCAAAAAAGCATCAGAAAATTGGAAAACTGTGCTGATCAGTTGTTTGGGGGGAAATATAAGGGGCAATCCCAATTTGCATCCACTGCCACAACAGGGCTGAACAGAGAGGCAGGGCCCCTGCCATGTCCAGTCTTGTCACACACAGTGGTCAAAGCAAAAAGTGAGGGGCAGGCAGATCACTGTGCTAGTCTTGATGTCTTGGGATCCAATGGACCCTGCACCAGCTTAGCTGCTACCCAGTACACAATATTTGGGGGGGGGGTTTCCACAGACTGCCACCAGTGGGGGCAGTCTCACTAGCAAGCCTCCCATCTAAGGATGTTACCTTTACATTGAAATGAATGTAAGTTACATAAGTTTTGTAAATAGTTGTGTAGGTTACATAAACAGTTGAGTAAGTTGTGTGATTTATGTTAATTAGCAAAAACTGAGCGGAAACAGCACTGATTGTGAAAAACACAGGTCAGTATGGAAATTGCTGCCTTCTTGCTTCCTGACTTCCACTTGCACATTCAGTGATGCTGACAGCAGGCAGTGGGAGGTGGACAAATACTTTCACTCAATTCAAACCTACCGACCCCAGACTGGTGCAAAGGGGTGGGGGTGGGCTACTGCTCTGTTAGTCCCTTCCATCTGCTTTTTCTTCCCCAACCAGCTAATACATATAATTGCCAATTTTTAAAATAGGGCTAAGCATGGACACGGGTTGATTAAGGCCAAAGATTTCTGATCACAACAGATGAGTTTCAATTTAACCACCCTCTTTCAATTTTCATTTTAATGCAGCACTTCACAGTGGATTTTTTTTTAATTAGGTATGTATTTACCATGAGTTATTCATTAGTTTCATTTCTGTAATGGAAACTATGGTGTATTGAATTAATTATTGAATTATCTGTCTTTTAAGACTTGATGTATACTATAAATGACAATTCTATTTTTTCCGTGTTCTAATTTCTGGCAGGTTTAACTAATATATCTATATTACAGAATGTGCTGAGCCTAAAGTGGCAACAATTTAAAGGTCTCAGAGGAAATCCAGCATCTTCAAAGCAATCCCACAGACAGAACAGATGTTGTTGCGTCGGTAAGAAATATCTATTGCATGTAGAAATTAATAGTCACTTGCAGAGTCAATAATTTACCTGCAGCAAAATAGGATGTAGAGAAGTAAATTGCAACTGAATCACCTCTTTACTATGTGCCCAGACTGTTCCAAAAAAAACTATCCATACTCTTAAATACAGGACAGTTGATTCTGTCTGAATCCTCTGCCAAAGTATTTTGTGAACATGCTAAGTGGCCTTAGACAAGGCAGTATAATTTAGGGGTATGTAGCAACCACAAGATTTTCCTCATATCTGTAGCATTTGGAATCAGCCTCATCTGTTTCAGAGCCACTGTATGTTGTTCTAATTTGATTTGTTATTCAGGTCCAAAGTTACTTTGTTAAACCCGAAACTCTGCTTTGTCTCATTAAATGTAAGGGGGATTCTAAGATCAGCTGTAGGATTTTTTATATAAATTAATGGGATTTGTAGGCAAAGGAGTCCCTCCAGAATGGGTTAGGACTGCCAAATTTTGGGTACATTTATTCAGGGATCTTCAAGAAGGGAACCTTTACATACATACACACATGCATGCATGCATGCATGCATACATACATACATACATACATACATACAATACTTGTTCATATTTCTGCCAAAACTGGATGCAAATTACAGGTGTGGTTGCTCTTTCTGAGGGGATGAAGCCTACCTAATTTCAGAAAATAAGCACAGCAATCCCCCATTTTATGATGGGAAATAGAAATAATGTTTTCAACCCTTTTGGGGGGGGGCACTCCGTTTGAATATGGGAGCCTGAGGAAAGTGCTTCTGGGTAAGAAGCCTGTCCAAGTTCAGACAAATTTGTCTAGGAACTATCGCGCCAGCTGATTTTTACCTCTGTTATAAAAAGTTGCCTTTTTTTGGTCCTCCAAATATT